AGAGACGAAAAGCGGAGTGAGGGCCCCCAGGGCCCTCCATCCTCCTCCTCCTCTCCCTTTTGCTCCCTCCCCCCACCACCCAGCCATTTCTTTGTGGGCCCCAGCGGAAAAGTGTGGCTAGTCAGTGCTTGGTGGGCTTCTCCCCCCACCAAACTGCCAGCCCCACCCCCATCCCTTAGGGCCCAAGGGGCCCTAGCAAGTCCTCACTAGCTGAAAAGCTTCCACTAGATCTGGCACCAACACACCATTAGTATGCCTGGCTTCACACCCATGCTTTTTGGTCTTTCTTTCTCTCTTTTTCCCGTTTTGACGCTTCTGTTTTCTGGCTTGCGGAGTACGTTTTTCGATTCTTTACCTTTTCTGTCTTTTTCTGGAAATGCCTAACCCACGCAGCTCTATTTCAAGTTAGTTGGTAGTATTTTGTGAATTTCTTATGGGGGCTTTTCTGACAGCCTTTGTTTATTGACGCATTTACGACCTTGTTTTCCCCTTATTCCACGCCGCTGGTGTAAAAAAGCAATCGCTCTCGCTCTATTTTAGCAGCTTTCAGGTACCCGAAAATTTGCCCTAAGCCACGTAGCGCCTAGCATGAATTATTTAGTAGGATCTCGATGCGAAATCTTGCGTTTGCATGGAATTTCGCGATTCGATGCGTTCATTGTTTCGCAGCGGAAGTCTGGAAGTCTGAATCTTATCGTCACGTCGATGTATATGTACAAATCGCTTACGCTCGCTCTCTCTCTCTGACTTTCTATTTGTCTCTCTCCCCTCTCTCTCTCTCTGTTTCGTAACACGCGTGCATCAAGGAATTGAGGATACTGATTGGCTAATGGTTCGGCTATATATTTTGACCAGATGTTTCCCAAACCCCAAAAAACTCGACCCCCACCCCCAACCCAGTTTTTCTAAAGACAAAACTTCCTGGATGTAGAAAGCAAGCCAGACACGGCTCAATTTAATTATTCCTCCCTGGGTCGCCAGCCGGGGTGGCCATTTCCTTAGGGCCCGAAATTGGGCTTCTCTTTTTTTCAGAAGCGAGAGAGCGAGGGAGACGGAACGCGATTTCCGCGACGCTCCCCCGCTCCGTTCGCTCGTTTGTTATTCTGGGTTGGGGTTCCCGAGAATGGGGGAACAGCCGCGCTTTTTTTGAGCCTTTGCTTTCATTTGGGCTATTCAGAGGGTGGGATAAAGGAATTAAGCTTTCCGTTTAGGATAATTTTTTTTTGCAATTTTCCGGTTTCACTGGCAATTTAAAAAAGGTGGTTTTTACAAAAATTTTGTTGCATAAATAGCCAGATTGAGTCGTTCCTTTTTTCAAGGAGTTTATTTTTACTTAAGGGTCCTGGCAAGTCGTTATGGTTTTGGTATGGCTTTGGCTTTGGATTTTGCTGCTGGAAAGCCTCTAAATGATTTGCCGCGGACGCAACATGCAACGCATTCCGTTTAGAGCGGAAAAATCCATCCTTCAGCGCATTGCGTATCGCGGTCGCGGAAATTTTTTGGCGAATGTCAAGGTAAATTTTCAATGGTTTTGGGCAACTGCAACGCGTAACGACGACGCGAAACCGCGACGCGCAACCGCGACACGCAACACACGCGGCTTTAAACCGCTAAATCATGCATCATATTACGCGATGCAAATACCAGCGCGCGTCGCGAGTCGCGGGCTCGACAAAACCAGGGTGATTTAAAATCAAACGGGTATCAAAACCTCTAAAATCCGTAGCCCTGCCTTGCCGGTTCCTTTAGACCCAAATTACCGAAACCTCATCTTGCACCCAATTTGTTTTTTCACACCGCACCCGATTTGGCCCCCATATTTCACAAAATTGCTCTGTTTTTTGAAAAGGCCCCACCGGAACCACCGGAACACACCCACAAGTGCCCAGGGACCTAAGGGCCCGTGGGCTGGGCCCTAAGGCTGGCCCTAGCCTCGCTTAAAAAGTATTCCGGTTCCGGTGATGCCTGGGCCCCTGTCGGGCCCCAAGACCCCCCTCGCTCCGACACATCTGTAACAAGTTTTCCTCCAGTTTTCCTGGGCCCTGGCCGGCCCATATCCATTCATTCATATCATCCAGCTGGACTGGGCCCCGCTTGGGGTCGTTTTTGAAAGGGCCAAAAATCTCTTTTCCTGGCTTGCATTCTCTGCGGCTTTTGACCCTGACCCTGGCTTTCCCTGAAGGCTAATTTGTTGTGAGGAGGGGTTGGTCTGGGGGTTCCCCAGGGGAGGAAGAACTGCCCGCCCGGATTCACTTCCCGGAATTTTTGAAGAAGAATGGACGGTGGTGATCAATCATTTCTGGGACTTCTTGGTTAGCGGGAACCTAAATATGAAGATGGGTATCTTTGGACGGGTTTTGCAGGGATTGGGAAGTGAAGGCCGGGTTGTGGGCTTGAAAACACTTTGGCTCTGCTTAATTAGCCGAAGGGTGCACTGTGGATAAGTAGGATTCTTGCCTTCCCGGACCCTTTAAAGAGGCTTCCAACCCCGGATTGCGACCCCATCTCATCAACTGGGTCTCGAAAACGCCCAGTCACGCTTAAAACGGGTTTGCAATTTTTTGGCTACTTAATTTTTGGCTTATGCATAGTTGTCGATGCCCAGTGAACTGTAGGAGACGATTCTGGCAATACTCAGCCTCTTTAAAGGAACCAGCAAGGCTTGAGCATACTGTTGACCGCGCTGCGACACGCAACGCGAAGGCGCGGCCCGGGGGGTGGTTCGCGTGCAGGCGCGGCCGAAAGGGTTTTGGGCGCGCAGAAGTCTTTTTATTTTTGAACAAAGCTAAAAAAATTAAGTTGACTCACGCTAGGAAAATTCTGAAGCGCCAACCTCAACAAACGCACCTACCTGACGCATTAAATGGGGGCCGGAAACTACCGGTTTTGTAATGGCTATTTTTCAAAACGTTTCTGCGCTTCATTTGGCTCAGGATTAGCTTAAGGAACACGTTGAAACGTGCACTAGATGGACGTCTCTTTACGTTTTTATGGAAAAAGTTCTTCAAAGATGTTATAGATGCGTATCCTAGCGTAGTGCCAGAATCTGGGTTTTCATACGGAAAATTACGTAATCTATATGAACGAATAGCAACGTAAATGAACCTTACGAAGCTCACCGCAATTTTGCGAAGTCAGATGACTTCTAAACCCCAGGCACCATCAACACAAAGATCCAACCTTCAGACAGAGAAATCTGCAGACAGACAGACAGACAGATAGACCCCTCCTCCCCCTCCAAAAGGCGTCACCAGGAAAGCCAATTCCTCAAATTTTAACCCCCCAGGCGTTCATTCCGTTCCCTTCCTCTTTTCGGTCTCTCTCTCCTCAAGGGTCCTGGGCGTGACAGCCGATTTCTCAGGGATCGGCTTACCCGTGTCGCTCCCACTCAAAAACAGAAAAAAACCAAGCCGAAAAAACTGCCGCGGGAAATTCTGCGTTCCAGGAAGCTCATCATTCATTTTCGGGGAGTTTTTCGGGCGTGGTTGGGGGTATAAAAACGAAGCAAAGAAATGCCGGAGTCTGGATTTTTCAGACTTTCTTGCTCCTTGAAAAAATTTATTCTAGAATTCAGAAGAAGAAGGATATATTAGACGATCGGAAATGTTCCTAAGGAGTCTCTGCTAGCTTTCCATCGCAAGAAAACGTTTCTAGTCAGCTTCCATTGGCACTGGATGCTATAGTTTGAAAAGCTCATTTAGTAAACGCTCCAAAACAAACTTGAAGAATCTCTGCTAGATTGCCTGCCTGCAAAAATGCATTTTATCCAGTTTTCCGAGATCTAGGTAGAATTTTTTAAATTCTGAACCAAATCTAGATGGTAGAACTTTGGCAAAAATTCCAAGGAATCTCTGCTAGTTTTCTCTCACGAAAAACCAACATGCTGGATTTTTGGTGGATTTTAGAGTGTGTTTTCAAAATTTTGATAAAAATCTAGATTACAGAACCTCCTCAAAATCCCAAAGAATCTCTGCTAGCTTGCCAGCTCAAGAAAACTGTTCTATCGATTTTTCTAGGGTTTTGGGTCAGTGTATTTTAGAATTCCGATCATAATAGCGACGGAAGACCCTCGAAAAACTATCCTAAAAATATCTCCTAGCAAAATGTATTCCCCTACAATTTACATTTGAAGTTATCCAAAATGCTGTTTTTTTGTGTGTAAAAATCAAGCTTATTGTTAGCCGTAAAAGCTTTTTGTTACCATGCATTTTCAGTTTTTCCGGAAGCATCCAGTTGCCCCAAAAAAATTCCATTTGGCTCGGATCCAGGCCCCAGGCTAGCGGCTCGAATAAATCAAATCAAGCTCGCGTTTCTTGGATGCTTCTTTCCTAGCGCTCGTCCCCAGATCCACATAATTCAAAACGCGCATCCCCCTCAATCCCTTGCTAGCGAGCCCTAAAAAATTACATAAAAAATTGGACCCTTATGGCCCCTTTCCTGGGACCTAAGGGCCACCCCCTGGCGTCAGCAAGTGCGAACGGAAGCGGCGGATTTTCCCGGATTCTCTCGCGAAGTCTTTTTGACGTCTTCGGCTCCCAGTGCTTTTTTTGGGGCTTTCCCAACACCTTATGCATTTCTGAGCGCAGAGCCATTCGAGCGCGAATAAGCCGATTTTCCGCTTTTTGAGGGCTTTTTTGGGCTCAGGGCCTTCAGAGGGTCCTCTGTGGGACTCAGAAAGTTGCAAATACGGGAGTTCGCGGAAGTTCTTATGAGCATAATGTAGTCTGATTTTTAGTTCGGGGTTACGGGGAATTCAGAATTTTTAAGCCAAGGCTTTTGAAGACGTCAAAACCGCTTTTTGAGCCGTTTTAAATTTTTTGAACTTTTTGCATGGTTTTTAAGCTTACCCCAGGTTCACGCATCTCGTTTTTCGATCGAATCCTATCCTATAAGCGCTTTCGATATATTTCAAAAATTTTATCGCCTATTTTCGTTGCTTTTTGATTTTCTCGTTTCAATAATTTCGTTCCAAACCTCATTACGCTTGTTTTTCCAGAAAAATGGCCGACGAGTCTGGGTCGGCCGGCGGGAAACCGGTGTGGATCTATGTGATATTTAGGAAGAACCATTGCTCAGGCCATGAAAAGGTGGGTTTTATGTATTTTAATAGATTTAACTGGTCCTAACATTTGACAACCTTGATATACAAAAATGATATCCGTGAACTACGTCACCTTCCAGATGACGGTGAACATCTCCGTGGACGGGCCGGTCTTCTGGACCCGACAAGTGGCCTACATCTACCTCTGCTCGTGCCATTTTGATGAACATGAGGTGAGGATTTTGGTTTTGATTCTGAGTATACCTATAAAACTACGAAATCATACCTTAGATTGGCGAAATATTTTAAGAAAATCCCTTAAAAACGCTACAAAAATTGCAAAAAAAGAAGTAAAAAATTACGACTACAAACCATTTTTTGTTCCCACATTCAATAAACCTTTAAAACCCACAAAAACCCAAGAAATATTTCATGAAAATCCCCGAAAAACTATACAGTAAAGTACCCTCCAGGGCCCGGTGATTCCATTTCTTTCCTATGCACATGTTGATGATCATGACCTGGTCTGGGTATGTGGGATCTGCTCAGCCGGGGCTCGAATTACCACCGCCCGAGCTATACAACTCCAATGCAACACCCCAGTCGAAATCGGAGAGGGCGAAAATCAGCTGCCGAGGGTGGGAAAGGTCGCCCGAGCCACACACATGCATGCATGCATAAAAAGAGCTCGAAATGCTATGGCTATAGTAAAAGTAGAAAGAGCTATAAAATTGAGATTTTCTCGCATATTTGCGCGCCCTAAGGTTAGGGTTTTTTAGTAGGTAATTACCCTATTTTGCACTTTATATAAAAGACCATGAAAAGCTGCGGCTAAAGTAAAAAGAGGAAAAGCTCAAATTTAAGTTTTTCGAAGAACGCCTAAATACAGACTTTTCTTGTTTTCGATAGCAAATTTTAGGACCAAAAGCTATATATTCTAGCTTAATCAAGCGTATAATAAAAAAGGTATACTGTAAAGCTAAAGTTCTCTAAACCTGCTAGATCACAAACCATTTTTAGCATTACTTTCGCCTTTTATTCACGTTTTTCAGCCAAAAACTCCAGACTTTCTGCAATGCTGGCAAGATTTTTGGGCATCAGCCTTATCTAACCTTGGCCATCTGCCTAGTTTTTCGGGTGGAACAAACTAAGGGCTCAAAGAACTGCGATATCCGCTTTTTTAAACTCATACCCCTGAATTCTCCACGTTGAAAAGATAAATCGCGCCCTCGGTGGTCCGGTCACACCCGTCCACCCCCGTGGTCTATCCATCTCAAAATCCCTCCCAAGCCCGGGCGCCTAAAAATGTGTTACGCTGACGGATGGGCCAATCGTTTCGTCTTTTTTTCGCGTCCCATGGCGTAACACCGGCCAAGACCCCAAACATCCTGGCTGGGGGTCCTCGGGGGCTCCCAGATCTCAGCTAGATATCCAGGCCTCCTCAAGCCTCGCAAAAACGGCTCATCCGGCGGGGGTGGTGGCCATCTAGGCTTCAGCTAGGGCCCTCCAAAAATAGGGCCCGTCACTTTGGGCCCTCTGGCAGACTTGGGGGGCTTGAGCGCTGAAAATATGGTGATTTGGTTTGGGGGTGGGTGGTGCCATGATACGCTATACGAAGGGGCGATAAATAAGGAGGCCAAAGGCCGCTAGAGGGGATCTGTCAGATATAGAAAAATCGGAAAATACTACCAAAATGCGCTAAATTATAATATCAAGCTAGAGTTTATAATATCTCCAGTTTAAAGTTACCTCATGTAGCAAATCTCAGCGCATTGCGATAACTAAAGCACCAAATTTCTCAGAAAATTCACGTCAATCGCCCATCGTACAATAGAAAAACAGGAATATAAGGCGTGTAAAATCTAAAAATCAACGTGAAGCTGCTATTAACTTAAATTTTATCGCGCCTAAGCTTGAAAATGACACCTAATACATACAAAATTATTTTAGGGCATTAATTCGGTACCAAATTTAATTAAGCCACTACATTACAGTAAAACTCGTAAATTTCACCTGCCTAAAATTTAAAACGAACTGGGTCATCCAAAATTTTTGTTACCGCTTGATTTCAATACCTAAGGATCGAATTCCTAGAAAAATAGCTCGCGCGCTTACAGTTTCGTCAAAAAATATAAAATTGCATTTAAACCCTTAAAAAATTAGGAAAGTGGACATTGGTGCTGAATTTCAGACTTTTAAAGTACTAAACCGCGCTGCGATTTAGTAAAGCAACTATCAAATTGCCTGTACAACCTTAAAAGCTAGTGGATGATACGCTGCTGCTACAATTGCTACTTTGTCGAAGTGCTTACGTGCAAAAACACATCGCAACTTGGCAACCGTCTCACGGAACTTTTGCAGCATCGTGTCTACTTCTTCATCCCCCGAAAAACCATTCTCCAAGGCCCAATTCCCGGTCCAAAATCCCACATCTCCACTCCACCGAAATCCGGAAGCTTTTTGCACGCAACAAATGGGCTCGATGTGCCATCCGGATAACCCATTTCAACCCCCGCGCACTCCTCGGCTTGTCCATTCGTCACCCCCAAAAAGAAGGGGATGTGGCCGGCGGTTTCAGAAACAGGGATCGTTTCTTTCCACCAACTCTTTCTCGGTCTCCTCCTCCTCCTCCTGCTAAAAGAAGAGGAGCAAGAGCCCCCTCGGGGGGGTTCGAATGTGCGGAAGTGCGGTGGGACGCCCCTCAAACACACGCCCAGCTTTTCCTCCTTAGAAAATCTTGCTGAAAGCGCCAAGTTGGGCCCTTGGATTTCTTGACGGCCAGATTTGGGGGACCCGAATGGAATAAACAACTCTAAGCACCGCGGCGGGCCGACAAAACGTGAAAATCGAGGTGAAAATAAACGTAGAGCGGGTCACGTGGTTCAAGAAGGGCGGCTTTGTTAGAGAAAAACGGAAGCGCCGGAAATGGCGGGTGCGGGGAGGCCAATTTAAAAGTGAAGAAAACCTGGGGTTCGACTAAAAATATAGGCCCTTGGGAGAACGTACTATCGTACTTTTAAGCTTAATGGCTCATCTAAAATGAGGAAAACTAGGGGTTTAGTCAAATGAGTAAAGAAAACTTGCGAAAACGCACTACTTTTAAGCCGAAAGGGAATTTAAAAGTTAAGCCTAAACCCAAAAAACGTTAGGAGAACCTAAAACGAAACCGTTAGGAGAACCTGTGCTGAAGAAAACCGACCAATAAAAAAAAGCTGATAAGGCTCGTAAAGTGTCTAAAAGATCCATTTGAAAATCTAGAAAGGGCCCCCTTCTAATGCAGGTTATAAAAACATGAAAGAACACACTAATTGTAAGCCAAAACCGAAGCTCTTATAGCGGCGCTCCACTAAAAAACATCCGATAATCTACAGAGAACGTTTCAAAAAAGCTAATACCGCCTAAAACAATTCTTCTTCAGAACTCATACGGCTTCTAAAAACACATAACGCATTACTACAAATTTGTAATCTGAAAATCACTACCTAACTTTCTAGGGTCCCCTCATGGCGTTGATGAAGAAGTTTGAAGAGCGCGTGGAACGGGTATGCATGGTCGATAATCCGGTGGATTTTCCCTTCTTGCCCGACAGCCTCTTCCGATACATGGCGGCTTGTATGCCGCGGCTTCAGGTGAGTGGAACCTGGAAATGCGTTAAAATAGACCCAAAAAAACCATTAAAAAACGACTTTTTAGTTCATCTACATGCGAGAGCTCGACTTGGAGAAAATCAACCGAGGAACGGTCGTTGAGTTTGCGCAGCATAAAGCTTTGAAGAAGGTAAGTGAAACCTAAAAGCCTAGAACGAAAGCTTTAGCTAATTGTGCACATGTGCCGAAACTACGAGGTCCTCGAAGATTTCAGCCAGCTCCCACAACTCCTCGTCGTCAAGGGCGAAATTATGGGCCTACGAGTAAGAAACACCTACTTAGAAAATGCCCAATAATTCAGGCAATGATCGGCGACTTCGAGCAAGCGGAAGCCAAGCGATCCCCAGGCTCCGACGGCGAGAAATCCTCCACCGCCAGCTCCGAAAAGGGCTCCGAGCTCGACCTCACCGAGATCCGAACCGCCCTCGAAGTTGCTGACGGGCAATAAGCCTAAAACCAAAAACCTCCACGACCCTCGTTATGTTTGTGCCATTTTCCTAGCCCCTCTAACCAATTGTTTTCGGGAAATGATGAACGTGATCGGCCACCGCCAGGCCATTCTCAATTTCTGATGTTCCGAATACCCGCCCCTAGCTTTTACTCCTTATACCCCGATCTACTCACTTGGTGTCTAATCTCAAAACTGCCTGATAGCATCCTTGTTTCCACTAAATCTGCCAACATTCCAACGAGTTCACCAAAAACTTGGGCTCCCCTCGATGAACAACCAACATTAGTGTGCTTCGCCTTCACCCGCCTGTGTTCGGCAATAAACTCGCACGTAACTGCTAAACTGAAACGAAAGTTAGAATGTCCACTCAGGGTTCATTCAAAGAAATACACCACATCGGAGAACATCACAAAATATAAAAATGCCGAGGGCACACAAAATAAGAAAAACACAAGTTGCAAAAACAGTATGCATTGATTAGTAGGGCATAGAAAGGGCGAGTCAATCGAAGAAAGGCAAAAAAAACACCGGGAAAGCATACAGAGCAAATGGGGGGCATGGGTTCAGGCTGAGAAGATGTTGAACGAGGGCCGCGTCAGGGTCATTGTCGCGGTCTGCAGGTAGGGCTGGGGCGTCACGTCGGGCGCGAATCGCACACGCTTCGCTGCTAAAAAGATAAAATTATTGGAAAACCGAGAAAGCTTTACCTTGTGGAGGAGAAGTGGATGCGCGGCGCTTCAGTGCTCCTCTCTTGGGCGCAGGCGGCAGGGGCTTTTGCTAAAACAAACGTTATTCCTGCTTCACGAATAAATAAATCAAATTAACGTGACGGAATTTTATTTTTTTACTACGGAAAGAGGCGCTAAACATAAACGCAACAGCGAAAACCTCAAAAGAATTTACCATGGCGCGCTTCATCAATTTCGCGTGCTGCAGCCTGGCTTCCTCGACATCGTGGGCTAGCTTCTTGCAGACATCCGAGCACACGTGTTCCAACGGGCGGCGTTGCGGAATTCCAGGGAAAACCGACGCAGCACGCCTCACACCTAAAAAGAAGTAAGAGAACTCGAAACCTGCCTTACCTTGGTCCATGTTCAAAACATTCTGCAAGGGTCGGCGGCGCTGTTGGATCACGGGCTTCAAGGGCACCGTTTCGAAGAGCGAGAGGGTGGCAATTTTTGCCTAAACAAAAAGGTATTCAATCGAGATCATTACTACCTCATATTCTTCATCGATAATGCGCCGCTGCAGGTTCTTGTTCTTCCTGTCAAGCGCCACGAATTCTTCGTGCAACGCCGCGCAGTAGCGCCCACTCGTCGATCTCGCCGCATGCCCAAAGCCAGACTGAAAAGAAAATGTCGAAAAGCGACAAAAACTCTGGCTTACCACCATTCTCCCAATATGCATGCTTCGCTGGTGGAACATATTAGTAGAAACTGTGAGGGTGCACTGAAAATGGTAAACTAGTAAAGAGGAGAAGTTTCAACGTAAAAAAAATAAGAAAATGAACGAGAGTGTAAACGGAATTTACAGTCGTGAAAAATTCGAAAAGTGAAATGAAAAATCGAAGCGATCCGGCCCTTGTGCGAACGTTCCACAGCGCGCCCAACGACGCAGTCCGTAATGTGTATTGCCACGTCCACTGCGTTTACGAAAAAATTTTAAAATCACGGATTTTACAAAAAAAATTAAAGTTTTAGCCCAAAGACTATGCTTGGCTCTACTTTAGATTAGCGTGCCACGGACATCTAGCGTCGATGCGTCGCTCTTGCGAGCGTTGCGGCCAATTTTCAGAGATTTATCGATATCTGCTCGTCGTGAGCTATCGAATGACATTAGTTGTAACGCATTCAATTTACTCTATGCAGAGATAACTAGAAAAATAGCTTTTGCGCGATTTACCGAAAACCTTCTAGCGCATTTTGGATCGGGAGTTTGGTCCAAACGGCTGGAAATTGTTGTGATGTAAAAACTTTCGGTTAGAAAGTGTGGCCTGATCATTATCATATTTTCGCGCAATTCGTCGGTATTTTTGAGTATTCGGAATTTTTCTGTATTTCATGAAGTATCCGGCTAGTCTGGCAGATCGTTGTCAGGAGTGTTTACGGCTAACAAGCGAAGTGTTTTTGACCCAGGTGGCAAATCGCTAGGTATCAATCGATAGAAAATTAAAAATAAATGTCAGGTTTCAATATTAGTTTTTACGCGAACTATCTTTTTTATGAATCAAAGTACCGAAGATTGCGTCAAAAAGTGATCTAATTTGATGAATCCTCTCCGGTTCTACCAATATAAATTGTTCTGAAATCCTCGGGTAGCCAAAACAGGAGAAGCATAACGATTTTCCGAATTTGGAAAGCTCAAAACTGAATTTTGACATTTTGACGTCTGTTTCTCAATTTTCCCGAAGCGGGATTATATAAGAGGTGATACAGTATCCAATTTCTAGCTTTTGCGCCCCCTTTAGTTCTCTTATTCTTATTTTTTGATTCTCGCCTTTCTTTTCCAGACCCAAGATTTTCATCCCGTTTCACGAATCTCAGCCCATTGTGAAGGACCCATTTGTCTTCTCGGGTCTCGACTCGAGCATGGCGCCTCGGTTCTCAATTGGACCCCGCGAATATGCAAATGGGGGTGTGCCCGGAATAGGGCTGGCTGGACATTCGCCCCGAGGGTTAGAAGAAGGGGCGATTCGAGAGGGATGGCGGTTATTGGAGAGAGAACGAGGGACGGAGTCTCTTCTGCGCCTTCTGGATCGATGGCCCTCTTGCATGGGGCCCTTGTTCGGCCTCACGGGCCCCTTCCTCGAGGCCCGCGGCAGATCCTGAGAGTGAGTGAGGCCCAACATTGCTCCCAGAAGTCAGTCCAGTCCAGCAGCCTCGGGTGCCCAGCCAGCGAATGGACCATGTCTCCATCCAGGCCAAGATAAAAGGTTGGTTTTTCGGGTCTTTTTTCGGCTACTAAACTGCCCCAGCTTTTTCCGGTGCCTGGGGCATTAAAAGAACTTTTTCTATTGTTTTCTCGGGCATTTTTTTTGGCTTTCTTTGACCTAGCTTCTTTTGTTTAGCTAAATCTGACTTTCTAAGTGATTTTTAATGGGTTAAGTAGTTTTCAGGGTAAAATCCAGCTTGTTTTTTTTGTTTTCGACCATTTTCTAGAGCGTGAAAAATGGTACAATACCTTTACGCGGGCTTATAAGGTACGAAATATGGTTTTTTAATGTTTTTAAACGCTTTTCTCATCCAAAAGCATGCCTTACAAGTTAGCGATACTATACGCATAGCTTTTGAGCTTTTCGTAAAAATTCTCTATTTTCCAGGGGTCCGATGGATATGCTGTTTATCTCCTGTAAAATACGTAAGAAGTAATCTTAATACGCTATTTTACTTTTTTACTAATCTTGGCTAAATATCATTAATTTATACGCTTAGCCGCTGGCTTTGCTGCCAACTTCTTTATTTTTCCATGCGGGAATTTTCCTAGAAAGCGCCCCGATTAGTATGATTCACTTTCAAAGGCCCATTTTATGAGATCCAGAGTTTTTACACTAACAAGTCTGCGACCGCGACGCCGGGGATTAGTTGATTTTTGAACACAATTTGCGCGAAATTCACATGGGAGATCCGTGGGAGGAAATGGCCAATTTCCGGGCGGCCCGGTGCAAATTGTAAATTGGCAGCGAGAGAACGGGTCGATTAGAAGACGGTAATTTGGAGGAGTTGCCTAGAGAGATGCTTGATCTTTTTTCCTAACACTTAAATTTAGTTTTTAGAGCTTTTTAATCGAAAAAGTTGATAGTAATTTCGAAAGTAGGTCAGTTTGAGTTGTATTAATTTTTATATCTTTTAGCGCAACAGTTACATGCACTTTTAGGGTAGGTATTCTGGGTAATCTTACGGTATCTTAGGTTTTCTCGAGCGCCGGACGTCCCGATTAAAATCATAGTTGTAGTTTGAAGTATAGTCTTTTATAGGAATGTTTGGCTCATACCTTTCACTTAATCGGCCAGTTTTATGGATTTATGCCATTTTTAAGACTGTGTTTCCGGAGAATAGCCCAAACACGTTCTCCTAAGGAGCACGTGCTCCTCTTGGAATGCTAGGGAAATTTCGGCGGGTCCTCGCTCTTCCCCTAGACAAAACATTCAGCAAGCACATGTCGACGACTCGCCACTGCTTATGGACTTTGCGGGGGGCATTTCGCTGACAAAGGGCCATTTTGGGCCCCGCCTTTTTTACACCCGAATTATCTGATCGTCCCGGGGTATCGTCTCGTTTTTTTGGCGATACGGATTTTCGGATTTCCAGTTAGTTTTGCAGTCAGTTGAGCTGTCAGTTTCCGGTTTTCTCCGAAACCCTTTAAATTTTAAGGATACCTAGCTTCTAATACTTTTTGAAACGCTGTTGGCTACAGAAAATCACCGGAAATCGGCTTATCCTTCCGGTTTTCCCTGAAACCCGGTTAATACAGAAGTTTTATCGAATTCCAGAGAATTTTTTGCGCTTTTCGAACAAGAGAAAATCGCCGGAATCGGCTTATCATTTTTTAAACATTCTAAGCGACATAGTTTTTGCCCGTTTTCGAGTTATTTTTTTCTTCGACCCCAAATTCCCTCTATAGGTATTCACCAAAAAATTACCCCCCTCTTTTCAAGTTTGAACTTAATTTTCTGCGCCAAAAAAACAGCGAAAAACACGAGATTTCTGGTCGTTCCGACTACCCTAATTGGGTATTCACAGGGTTTGAGGACAAAGGGTGAGACCAGAACACGCCCCGCCAAATGACGTTTCCCAAAGACTTCAGCCGGATTGGTGCGGTTTCATTTAAAAAAACGCTGACTTGACGTTATCGAAGGGTTGATTACGCTAAAAACTCATTTAGCGCCCGCTTGAAGTTTTTGCGGCTGCGATTTTTGATAAGAGGCCCCCGGAAGTTGTAGAGATTATCACGTTTTCTATTTTTGGGGGCTGGTGACGAGATTTTTAGGGTGGAGGCTGAAGTAATCATGGTTTTTGAAGCTCATCTATCTTTTTCAGATCCATAAAGGGTTTTGTTAAGCAACTTGAAAACGATACTTTTTGGGCAGTTTTTCTAATACTAAGATTTTTAAATTTTCAAGACGAAACAATTTTTTCAAGACGGTCTAAGATTATCTGTTTCTCTGGGTAAAATTACGTCCAATGAATGTTTTGGAGGCAGATATTGATGTTTTCGTGGATTTTAGGGCGTTAAATTTGAGGGTTTATGTCGGCTACGCGGGGGCGGACTGTTGGGGCCGGCCTAACTATTTTTTTTTGCGTTTCTTTTTGCTACAAACAAAACTCTTATTAAATTTTTCCGACGCTCGATCGAATGGCACTAAAGAAATTTTGTAAAAATGCCGAAAATGTCGAAAACGTGATTTCCTTCTTTGTCCTCCATGGAAACAACGTTTAATACTTGTTTTTGTTATAACTATTTCATATTACATTATTTTGAACTAAAATCAACTCTTAGTATATTTTTGGATGCTCTATCGAATGGCATCTTTAAAATGTCGAAAAAATAGAGCGGCTCCCAAAAAACAGCCGCTCAGTCCGATTTTAAAAGGTCATTTTTGTTTTTTTTGCCAAAACTTTTTATATTACAAAACCCCCCGCCCCCGCAGAGCCGACTATACCAATTTGAGCTTCGCATGGTTTTCTTAGAAAGGTTTTTTTGAAATTGTCATAATGTTGTTTTTGTTTTGTTTCTCATTTTTTAAAGCGTGGGAGGGAGAATGAAAGAAAAGTTTTTTACTGATAAGTTTTTAAAGTTTTTTGTTTGACGTATTTTACATAATTTTCATTTACAAATCTGAAAATCTTAATTGGCCTTAAGTACTATTTTTGAGCTCGTGCTCCCGATGCATTTTTTTGAGGATAGGTTTTTACGAAAAATCAACTTTATAACGCTCTATATTGCGAACTAACTCGGATTTGGAAGTATCGCATCGGAGCTTTAATGTACGTGCGTGTACGTGTGTACGTTTAATTTTTTGCTGCTTTAGAGGTGTAAGAGCTTCATTTGGAACAAATAATTTTACAAAAAAACGGAAGTATCGGTTTTGTAAGCAGAATTTTAACGTACGTGCGTGTACATATGCGTTCAGTTGTATCCCGCTTGATTTTGGGCGGCTTTGTAGCTTCAATTTGCTCATTTTTCCAATCGAATCCCCGTGGAATCGGTCCCAACCGGTCAGCCATTGGTCTCGCACGCTAAAGGGCGACCCGCGGACCGTCCAGGCCTCCCTGCTCGCAAGTTGTATGTGTGCCCAGGTGCCTGTTGCGAGCGGGGTAGCTCTGTCTGTTTGTCTGTCTGTCTGCCTTGTTCATTCTCTATGTCTGTCTGTCTGTCTGCTATGTCTATTCCTCTGAACGGGGGTCCGTTCCGAGTAATTTCCGCCTCTTCCATTCTTGCACCCTCGCGTTCCGCCGCACGCTGCTCTGCCATGTAGATTTCGCAATGTAGCATTGCACAAGTGGTGGCTGCGGGTTTCCAGAATGTTTCCATATACGAAACGCTACTCTTGTCAGCTAGTGCATTGAATTTTTTAGACGCAGAAACTCATAAAAATGTATAAGAATGTATTTTGACATTTTTGCTGAAGTTTAGCTCAGAAACGACACCTGTTAGAGTTTTACTACCACTATAGCTATTTTTCAGATTTTGTATTTTAAAGCCTGGGTACTTAATTTCAGTTTACTCGATTTAAGAAGTTTAGAATAGCGTTTAGAACGACAATCAGTTCCAGTTTTCGATTTGCCGGAATTTTTCATATACGTAGCACGCCTCTTTTTATTTCGAAAACGGAATTTTTGGGTGGTGTCATTTTGAAAACTTCGTTATTAGGTTTCGAACGTGGAAAGTACGACTTTTTGCTGGTTCACTGCAGTTTTGGCTGAATAATGATACTTTATGACCTATTATAACGTTCTAGGATGTTGCCGATACGAAATGTAGGTTTCGGCTGGGCTAGGAAACTTAATTTTATTTTGGGTCACTTTAAAACCGTATGATAGTGTTTATGGCTACGGTTTATTTTACCCCCTCCCCCCCAGCCGGAAGTTTTTGGCTATAACTTTTTTATTTTACATTATTGTAGGCTCAAATTAAAACTCTTAGTATATTTTTCGACGCTCTATCGAATGGCGTTGCAAAAATCGCGACAAAATAAGCGAAAATACCGACAACTTTGAGACCCTTCGGCTGTGGGGGGGGGGGTAAAGTAAACTTTTACCGTGTTTATTTTGTGGTTGAAATAGAATTTTGCTTAGAGTCTGATGCAAAATTTGCCGTAAAAGAATATGAATGCTTTTGTTAACTTTTACAAGCTTTTTGGAGGCGCCTTGACCTATCTGACTTGTGACTTGACCTATCAAAAGATTTGGCGGACCTCCACGCTATTTTTTGGCTTACGCAATCTATTACCCCACTTCATTTCGCTTACATGTCGATCTTGATGATCGTCCAGTTCAGTCCAGTTTTCTCGGCTCTTTTTCGAAAGTCCCGAATTTTCTTGCATTTCTGGGCTTATCCCCCATAAAACCCCCGGATAGCTAGCACTTCCCCCATATTGCCCTCTAAATGGCGATTCTCCCAAAGCACGCCGATCTGCAGAAAGGTGCCAAAATTTTCCGTTGTTTTTCATATGCCAATTTAGGCTACAAACGAGCAATCTGCTGTTTTTCCGGCACAATAAGTGCACGGGAACCCAATTAGGGTGCGCTCGCGCGGAAATGCCGTCCCCAGGGGCGCTTTTTCCGCGTTCTCACGTGGCGTTTTTGCAGTTTTCTGGCCGGTTTTGCCGGTTAATTGGCAGTTGTGAATCCGGGAATTTTGCAGCTATCGCTTTACATTAGTGTGGGAGGAGTCAGAACCCTAGAACTGAAATTTTGCCACTTCGGGTAATTTTGCTAGAAATTTCACTGAAAGATCAGTTTCAGCTGTTCCTTAGCTTGGTAAATGCCTAATTTTTACGATTTTCGTGATTTATTTAGTGATATTCAATTTATACTTTTTATAACAGCTCAAAAACGTTTTTTTAAAAACCTTAACCAGGGTTAGCCAAAGAAAGTTCCAATTTCTAATCTCCGACCTCAAAATGAAAATACGTCAGGTCTCTTCATATAGGCCCTCACTTCCGGCGCATGCTAATTCATTCTAACAAAGGGGGTGACCGGAATTTTTAAAACTATTTAATATCGAAAATAGCCCTTTTTGGCGATTTGGCATGTGCGCGCTCGAGACGTTACGCATCTAATGCATCAAACATACTCTACCCCTCTATCGAGATACACTGGGACTACTGACGGGGTTGCATGCTTCACACACATACACTATTTTATTTAGTAGGATGTTATGTTAATGGCCTCAATTGAGGTATTTTCGTAGTTTTCTGGTATTTTTTTTTAGGTTATTTTGCTTTCCAGGTTGCATTTTGAGGACTTTTCGGCCTAATTTTCTATAAATCTCGCCATATTTACCTCAATAAAAGATTTTTTACGTTAGTGACTAAAATTAAGGTATTTTCATAAAGTCATATAATTGGTATTGAGCAGACATTTAGGTAACTTGCACATTTAATCCCTTTTACCGACTAAAATTTCCATTATTTGCATATAAGCGTCTGAAATTATTTTGGTTCCGCATTTTAAGATAATTTTTGGCCCCGATTTCGTGAAATGTGTAGATACTTTTACGTTTCCGATTTACCGGATCCATTTTTATCAAACAAGCCGGACCTGCTGGGCATCCCCTGCAAAACGATATCCCTGCATCCCTAATCCATCCCCACCCCTCGGGCCACAAATCCGTAAATTACGTGCAAAATGCGCAGGGATAAGAGATAGTATTTTGTTTACGGTAGTAGAATCTGGATATTGAGTTCAAAGATCATTTTATGAGAATTTTTAGTCTCAGGATTTAGGAAATAACGAATAAATTACGCATTTCCTTGCAGAGTTCGAGGCTCGGATCCGTCGATGGAGACAGCTGCGGTTCGGGTTTGGTGAAGCCGTCCATCCCAGAAGATCCACGTCGCAGGAACCGAAAGCGGTGAGTCGAAATAAAAAATTAAAGAGAATTTTGCTTACAGGATGAGTAAGCATGGGCAGCTAGCAGAGATTGATATGGGAACTTTATCCCATGAAATTTGGCGTAAATCCGACCAGAATAGGCTCTTATGTTATTTGGAAAAAGCTATAAAGTTTATTTTGTAAGTATAGAGTTTATTTTTTTAGAACAGTTATAGAGCTTATTTTTTTGGCAGAATCCAGGCAAGCTGGCCGAGCGAATTTCGGAAATCTGCAGCTTAAATTAACCGTATGCTAGCAGAGATCCCCTGGGAAAATCGAGCTGCTAAACTAAATTTAAATTTGGTCCAATCCTATAAGATTTTCTTGCAGCCCCGGGCAAGCTAGCAGAGATCGTGTAGGAATTCGAACATCCCCGATTTTCAATCTCTCTGCACCCGATGCAAGCAAATTCCCAAATAATACCTGCTAGCCTACCCTAATTAGTCAGCCTCCGAACGAACACACCTGTGACTCATTCCACCCGATCTGTACCTGCCGAATTTCAGTTTTTTTAGATTCATGGGGTGGGGGTAGCACTAAATTAGTGACTCACCCCGACTTACCTATTGTTTTCCGTTTTATGCTCGTTACCGTTCGAAAACTTGCAGTATTTATACGGTTTCGAAACCGGTAAAAAAAGCCCGTTTTTAGCTAGACAGCTAGAATTGTGAGTTTTGGTCGATTTTGTTGTCGGATTTATGTACCTCGAAAACCTTTTTTTGAGCCCGACCAGACAATCCGCTTACAAAAGCCAGCCGAAGTTTAATGATCATGTCGTTTTTTTCAGCGAGGCTCTCCGGTGCGCGAGCCAGCCACTCCGCGAAAGCCGTTGCCGGTGTGCTCGACGAGTCCGTTGCCCCGGAAAGGAATGAGCGCCACCACTCCATCCCGTGAGTTTCAGTAAAATATTTGAGCATCAATGGGAGTATAATAGCTATCGAATTGAGGCTAAGCAACTCGGGGGAAAAAGCCGGAATTTAATGCGAATTATGCTATAGACCATATTAGTAACTTATAACTATATCGAATTGAGCTAACTCTTTATGGCTCCTTCAAGTTTACTTTGGGCAATCTAGCAGAGATCCTTTGTGATCTTGGATGCTCTAGCTTTTGTCTATAGGCTAGAAACTTTCAAGAAGTAGCTGGCATAGGTAATTTGCGCCCATTTTCCATCCCGGGGAAAGCTTGCAAATGCCATTTACCCTTCAATCATCTTTAAAATATTTTCTCAAAAACCAATCACGACATACAATGACATACATGGACTAACCCATCGTTTTTCAGTGGGCGGCCTCCGATTCGAGCCGAGCCAGCAGCTCGACCCGGAAGGCGAGGAGCTGAACAGACGCTTCGAGCAGGTCCGAAGTCAGGCCGGAAAGTTGAGGCTGAGCGGCCAGGTCGTCCAATGCCAATACTCGGATCTGGAGCATCTTGGGGATATCGGTCATGGCAGTTGTGGGCACGTGACGAAGATGGCGTATAGGGGCCATGTGATGGCTGTTAAGGTAAGTAATCTCTACCTTAAAGGGACTAAAAATCCTGAAAATCTAACCCCTTAAACCACTAAGTCTCGACAGCCCCGTATAGAGCTAAAAATCCCTTCACGTTTTAAAGGGATGGTCAAGGCAGGGCTCTGGATTTTTCTACTCTGGATAGCTTATGAATTTTTGGGTGCTTCCGTGTTAGCGGGGAGCAAGGCGAATTTTTAGCAAGCCTATTGCCGCATCGTGATGAATTAAAATATAGTTTAGTAAGCTTTCGGGAGCTTCCAATGACCAAAACACTATAAAACTTTATCAGAACATCTTATAATTTTATCTTGTATCCTAAGTTTCTGTCCAAATTGTTCATTTTTCATACGTTTTTCAGACGCATGGGGAAGTTTTTGCGGCAGCCGAAAAATAACAAATTAGCAAAAAAACAGAAATAGGTTCGACCGAAACGATAATAAAGGTTTTAGATTATCACCCGAAATATAGTCATCAAGGAAAAACTTACTATTTCGCTACTAGGTATTTCTGGACTTGTAAAACAAATTTAATTTTCCGCGGGATCTCCCCCACCAATAACGCAAAGCACTAAAAATGCAGAACCGTGCCTAGTAGGTCCTATCCGTATCCTAAATGCGTCTAAATATTCTTGTACCCAAAGGATCCCCACGCGTGGTTGTCGAGACCTAGCCGGCCAAAGGGGTCGATTTTCACGCTTTTCGGTCCCTTTAAAATGACCTAAATACTCAATACCTTTCAGCAAATGGCTCGCACGGGTAACACGGGCGCCACCCGCCGAATTCTGATGGATCTCGACGTGGTGATGCGATGCCAGAGTCCGGATATTGTGATTTGCTACGGGTTCTTCATTACGGATGTGAGTAGTCGATTTTTGTTTATACCGGAGGAGGTATTACACTTTTTTTATTTAATACGGATCACGATACCTTTGAGAAACGTCGTTAAATCCCTTTTTTTCAGACGACAGTCTACCTGTGCATGGAATTGATGAGCTGCTGCCTGGACCGGTTCCTCTCCCGGATAAACCACCAGCCCGTGCCCGAGCAGTACATCGCCAAAATGGCCATCTCCATCCTGTCCGCCCTCAACTATTTGAAGGAGGAGAAATCGGTTATTCACCGCGACGTGAAGCCGTCCAATATTCTGCTCGATTGGGATGGAAATGTGAAGCTATGCGATTTTGGGATTGCCGGGCAGTTGATCGAGTCGAAGGTGTTCACGCGGAATGCGGGATGTCCACCGTATATGGCGCCGGAACGGTTTAAGCCTGTGGAACAAGGGGTAAGCTTGATACGTTAAACTTGGTTATAACGATTTTAGGGGCCCGCACCGTATGATGTACGTTCGGATGTCTGGTCGATGGGTATCACGCTGGTTGAGCTGGCGCGTGGAACGTAAGTCGTTTTGGGTCTTTACTCGCGTTCCTTGATCGTTTTTAACGAATTTACCTCTGTCATTTGGCGTGTCATATAACTTTCGAGATTTTGACGAGAATAAGGCTCGTTTTCGGTGCTCTTTAATGACTTTCACTTGAAACATCGCAAACTGAATAAATCTCGATTTTTACCCGTTTTGCGGATAAGAGGATGCGTATTTTTTAAAGACTAATCTGGAAACTCTGATTACCCTCCATTTTTCAGATATCCCTACCAGGGCCAACACGAATTCGAGATCCTCTCTGCCCTCATCAACAACCCGGCCCCAGTGTTGACGCTGGAAGAGGGCTTCTCCCCCGATTTTGTCAACTTTGTCGAGTTGTGTCTCAACAAGGACGTCCAGCAAAGGCCGAAATACGATGTGTTATTGGTAAGTCGCGGATTAACACACATAAAATACACTGGGAAAACTAGCAGAGGGTATTTAGGAATGATTTTAACCTAGAGTCGGAGTATGAAGAGTAAAATTAACCTCCTAGGTCTTTAAAAAATTGAGCTGAGAAAACACGAATTCCATGCAAAGGTAACAAGCAAAGAACATTTAGGAATGTCAGACTCATGAAAGGGTGGTTAGCAGAGATCATTTAAAATCCTGAAATATGTGATTTTGACCTCTAATCCACTTTGAACTGTAAAATATAGGTCAGGCCGGCCCTAAAAATTAGCTTTTTGATATTTTTATGGCAAAATTGAGCAAGCTAGCAAAGATTCTTTGAGATTTGGGGACTTTAAAGGCCAAATCTTAACACATATCCCCCTTTCAGCAACACCCCTGGATCGTCAAAAATCGCGACGTGCAGGTGAACCTGGCCGAATGGTTCCAGGACTTGATGGAGGACCATGAAGAGTGATGTCGTCGCTCGAACCTGTCCGCCGGTTTTTTTTGAGATTCTTCCCTCTTCGATCGACTAGAATTTTTCAACCCCCAAAAATACGCGAGCCCGCCAAATCCCCCTAGCTTGTTTCGTTTTCGAAATTTAAAGTTTTACGAAAATGGTGGTTTTAAGGGGATTGGACAGGTTTTAAGATCGTGAAAATGCCGTAAAATAAGCTAGCAGTGATTTTTTGGGAATTTTGGAGCAGAAATGAGGTTCTGAAGCTACTTTCCGCAACAAAGTGCCGAAGCAAAAAAAGGCAACTAGCAGAAATTTTTTTGGGTTAATGGGAAATAAAAAAAAAAATAGAAGTATATGGGGGTTGGGGGGGGGGGGGTAAAAAAAAAAAAGAAAAAAGGGAAAGGGGGGGGGGGGAGGGGGAGGAGATAGGGAGGGGAAAAAAAAAAAAAAAAAAAAAAAGGAGGGGAAGGGGGGGAATATAGGGGAAAAATTTTTTTTAAAAAATTAAAACATCAAACACGGCGAAATAAACTAGCAGTGATCATCTAGGAGCCTTTTGAAAGCAAAAATCGGGCAATGATCGAAATGGCAACTAGCCTCGATCCTTCAGGAATTTTTTCTAACTCGAAAAAGCTTGCCAATCTCTTTAAAACCCGCCATCCCAAAAGTATTCCCGCCCCGAATCGGTTTTGTGCTGCTGTGTTCTCTCTTTTATCTCCCCTCCTTCCCTCAATGTGATGTGGCCTTGTCATTTTCGTTTTTATATTATTTTTAAGTCTTGTTAAACTTCTAAAGCTTAGCTTTTGCCTAAACTGTGCTATCTATCCCCCACCTTACTTTCACCCCCTGCCTGGATGCTAATTTTTGGATTTAACTGTCTTTTTTGGCTATCATTTTGATTCCATATTTCCTGAACTTTGGACGGGGTGCTGATCGGTGTCCCCGGGGGATGCCCACCACACACACACAACAACAACACACATTGTATTTTATGTGAATAAATTTTATTATGTGAAAGATGACCCTGGAAGATTTGCACAGAGTACTTTATGCTACACAACCGTACGCAATAGAACACTACGGTAAGTTACGTAAGGAAGGGCGACACAGCGCATAGCCCGCTGCGTGATTAAACCCTGTTGGCATATTTTATACGTTGGTTTGGTCCTTTACGAAAAGCTATGAGATGCCACCATAGCATACGCTAGAATACGCAAAGCTAAGAAAGGCTACGTAAGGCTACGCAAAGATACGCTGAATCCTATGATATGCCACCAGTATCCCTGCATCATCAAAAATCAACCAAGCCGAATGGTCCAGGATTTGATGTTGGAATAGTGTGAAGAATCTTGCGTATCCGGATACACGAACAAAAACAAGTGTATTTTGATGTAATAAAATTTTATTCGATAAAAATTCAATCTGAAATTCTCTAAAAAATTGATCTGATAAAATTTACTGTTTAGTTATGCATAAAAATTTTAGGTTAAAGCTGGTAAAATGGAATGCGGAATGCTGGAATTATCAGTAACACTATGAAAGTCATGTAGGCAAAAGGAGAATTGCGTGAAAACCCATTGGACGAAATATTGCAGCAAAAATTTACGCGGTTACTACCAACTTAAGAATTACTACTGACGCTCGAGCTTGTAGGTATGGCGCCGGGCCATCGAGCACCCAATAATCAGCGTAATTAGCATACAAATCGAAAAGGCAGCCGCTGAGGCGATCAGCGTCGTGACTGGGATGCAAATCTCGCGCTGGAGAATCCGGAAGACGTCGTCAAAGCCCGGGTTCGGGGCGCTGGGAGTTGGGGTGATGCTCTGAAAATGACGCAGGTGAAAATGTATTGCTACGCTTAGGAAAAGCTCGCTAAGATTTGATGCTTACGATAACTGCGCCTATCAAAGCCTTAGGACTCCGATCCGACCCAATTCGCTACGAATAACGTGCGATACGATACGCCTACTACGGTCCTAGTACGTTACGATACGCGCCCTATATTTTGCTACGTATATTACGTTACAATACCTGTGGAAAATCGTAAGCTCTCGACAAATAATGAATTTTCTCACCAACGCCGTCATATTCTGCAGCTCGAATGGGTCGACCATCTCCTCCGGTAAATCCTCATTCATCGTCAGCGTAGTTTGAAGCACCTCCTGCTCCCGCTTCATGATCCTGCTAAATCAAACATACTCTTTTCATACTTTGATCTTTAAATACCCAGATCGCGCCCATTTTTTGTTGACTTCCGGCTCATTTCTCATGACGATACTGCGCTTGGAGCGACCGCAGGTCTAAAAGAAAACTGTTTAAAGGGCCACTGAAGACAAAAAGAGAGTGGAAGTTCAGGTATAACTTAGTAACTTACAGGCGGTGAAAAACCTTCACACTCTCCGGTCTCCTTCTTGCACAACTCAACGACACATTCGTAGTTGAGGACTCGAGAATCCGAGAATTTGTAGCCGGACGTCTCGGTGAAAGCCTGAAGGTATATTCTTCCCATTAAGTTTCGTTTTTAAGATATTAAAGGGATCAGCAAGGCCGGCAGAAAATCATAATTTACCAATTACCAACCCTCGTCAACTGCGTGTCGTACTGTAGATCCGGCTGGATGAGCGGATCGATAGCGCACCCATCGACATCGAGCTGAAGTGTTTTTTAATGTTCTTAACTATCTAGAATTTAACTTACCAGGTCGAATTTGTATCCCTTTCCGTCGGTCACGCTACAGCTGTGCACAAGAATTCCCTGCGCTTCTCCCTCACACTCCCACACGTGGAAAATATTGTCGCCGACCTCGCCTTCGCTAAAAAGAGGTTGATTTTGGATCCAGACCGGTTTTAAATAAGCAGAGGATGCGTGAAATAGCTAAGACTTACACAATTGGTGGTCCCTCCACGCTGCCGAGACGGATACTGTATGAACAGGTTGGAGCCGGGGCTGCCTCGACGAGTTCGGTGGTTCCGAGTCCGGACATTTCTTAAAAATACGAGTTAAGGTCGTCGTTTTGAGCTTAAAGTATAGTCCGTATGAATTGTGAATGAGAGCTGCCCCAAAAATACTTTAAATTTGGTCTTGCTGAGTCTCTCTTACCAATCGCATTGGTGAGCATCGACGTAGATCTGAAGAAGCACATGCAACGATACGCACGGTCAGCCTTCGTCACAAACGTACCATGGAAGGAGACAACGATGGTTAGGGAGAACATGAGGCCCTGAAGATTTGAGATCCGCTTTTAAAGGGATCGAAAAGGCATAAGTATAAAGTCATCCGATACTTTTTCACCATATTGTTGTTACTTATTAAGGTATATAATAACGGTGAAATACTGCACCAGAATGTGAGGGAACTTGCTGTTTTCGCAGAAAGGCGTCAAGCCGAACAGATTTTGGCCAAAAAAAATACCTCCAACTTGCCGCTAACGCGGTGCCGCTGCATGGCGCAGTCTCCATTGTTAACGACCAAGGAGAATCTGAATAGAATTACGTTTGTTTTTGTTTTTGTTTATTGACTAGCTTTTTAACCTAATGTGCGAGTGACCAGTGCTTCGAAAAAGGGTGGTCCGTTTTCAGTGCTTTTCAAATCTAAAGCTTTTCTACCTATCAACTTGATTAAGGTAAATTTAAATTTTGTTGGGGGTGGGGGTTTGGGGGTGGGGGGTTTGGGGGGTTTTTTTTTTGGGGGGGGCGGGGGGGGTTGGTTTTTTTTTTTTTTTTTTTTTTTTTTTTTTTTTTTTTTTTTTTTTTTTTTTTTTTTTTGGATTTTTTTTTTTTTTTTAATTTATTTTTTTTATTTTTTTTTATTTTTTTTTTTTTTTTTTATAAAAAAAATTTTTTTTTTTTTTTATTTTTTTTTTGGTTTGTTTTTTTTTTTTTTTTTTTTTTTTTTTTTTTTTTTTGGATTTTTTTTTTTTTTTTTGTTGTTTTTTTTTTTTTGTTTTTTTTTTTTTTTGTGTTTTAAAAATTTTATAAGAAATTTTTTTTTTTTGGGGTTTTTTTTTTTTTTTAATTTAAAAAAATTTTTTTGGGGAAAATTTTTTTTTTTTTTGTTTTTTTTTTTTTTTTTTTTTTTTTTTTTTTTTTTTTTTTGTTTTGGAAGTTTTTGTGTTTTGGAAGGGGGGGTTTTTTGTTTTTTTGTTTTTTTTTTTTGTTGTTATTTTTTTTTTTTTTTTTTTTTTTTTTTGTTGTTTTTGGTTTGGTTTTTTTTTTTTTTTTTTTTGGGGGGGGTGGGGGTTTTGGGTTTTGGGGGTTTTTTTTTTTTTTTTTTTTTTTGGGGGGTTTTGGGTTTTTTTTTTTTTGGGGTTTTTTTTTTTTGGAGGGGTTTTTTTTTTTTTTTTTTTTGGTTTTTTTTTTTTTGTTTAAAAAAATTTTTTTTTTTTTTTTTTTTTTTTTTTTTTTTTTTTTTAAAAAATTTTTTTTTTTTTTTTTTTTTTTTTTTTTTTTTTTTTTTTTTGTAAAAAATTTTTTTTTTTGGGGGGTTTTTTTGGTTTTTTTTTTTTTTTTTTTTTTGAAATTTTTTTTTTTTTTTTTTTTTTTTTTTTGGGGGGTTTTTTTTTTTTTTTTTTTTTGGGTTTTTTTTTTTTTTTTTTTTATAATTTTTTTTTTTTTTTTTTTGTTTGTATTGTTTGGTTTTTTTTTTGTTTTTGTTTTTTTTTTTTTTTTTTTTTTTTTTTTTTTTTTTTTTTTTTTTTTTTTTTTTTTTTTTTTTTTTTTTTTGGGGGGATTTTTTTTTTTTTTTTTGCTCCCGTAAACCAAATACCTGGACTGATTTGTGTTCTTTGCAAAGCCCTGAGCACAACGTTCATCATCTGACAGCCCCTGGACGTACACCCTTCCGGAAAATGGCTTCCGAGTCTTGAAAGTCAAGGCAAGCATCGTGTCTTCGCAATCCACCTAGAAGTAAAGAAAATGTGGCTAAAGCTTGAAGGGAAATTCTCATACCTTCGGCTCTCCGACAATCTCGTTGTCGAACATGAAACTGGCCACCGAAGGGATAAGTAAGATGACAAGGCCATGGAGTACCCGGAGCAGCATGGTGCTAAAAATTTTCATGCTTTAGAATTCGAAATTTGTTTCAGGAGGTCACCGAAGGAACGGTAAGGGTTTTTTAAAATTTGTTGCGGCTAAGTAAAGATCTCAAAAGTTGATGCAAGTTCTTTAGCGCTAGCAAAATACGATATTTTACTGACAAAAACGATGAGATTTTGTGAAAAAGTTTAAGAGAAGCCGAGGCTTAAGCTAAATCTAAGCGAAGCCTAAGCTTAGCCCCAAGCCTAAGCCCAAACTAAACCTGAGCCAGCTAACCCTAAGCCTTTGCCTGCTTTTGCCTAGGCCGAAACCTAAGCATAGGCTCAGCTTAAGGCTAAGCTAAGCCTGAGCTAAGCAGAACCAAGCGAACCTATGCTAAAGTCTAAGCCTGAGCCTAAGCGTAAGCCCAAGTATTGGAACGTATATAAGCAGAATTAGATTTCGGCTAGTTGGAAATTTTGACGATACGACGGGATACTGTAGGCTACTGTAATGAGAGATGCGGTAATCGGCCAATAGTTTCCTAGGTGCTAATAAAACAAGGCGAAAAATAAGCCCCATGCCAGGTATAATTAATGGGCATGTTTGTGTGCCCACGTAATGAAGTGCGTTGCGGAATTTTGGATACCCGGCCCCTTCCGTGCTCCTCCTGTTTTGGGTATCAAACAGGGCCATCATCTTGGGTGGCGAGCGGGTGGCGGGAAGATGGTGGAACGCGCTCGGGGTTGAGGGATAGATTGCCATCTCTAATAATCGAGATTTAGGGTCGCTACATTGCCTAATACCCCCCAGGCTCATAACAACATACCGGGCATGAGGACACGGACGGGGAGATTTCCGGAAATTTAATCTAAAAAAATTAATGAAGTCACGCTTTAGGAAAATTTTGCTTCCTTACTCTTCCCCGCCACTTATAAGACCAAGGAACTTTTGCATTATTGGGGGGGGGAATAAAAAGTGGATTTTTTTATATTAGTCCTGACGCCTATTAGTATAATGATAGGTATTCTAAAAGAGTCAATAAAACGCAAATTCTAAAATTAAATAAAATCAATTAGAAAGTTACGATTTTCTCGCGTTACAAGTCTTATTAAGTAATTTCAAACTAGGTAATTTGTTGTCGAAAAAATATATTTCTGTATTTTTTATTAAAATTATTAAAGTAGGTGCGCTTCGGAATGGTAAAAACAGTCAAAAAAATATTTTCTATCTCCCAGAAAAATGTCAGGAAAATATAAGGAGACAGGGAGAGAGAGAGAGACATAGAGAGAGAGAGAGAGAGAGAGCGAGAAAGACTGAAACCTGGATATGGAGAGCTAGCAGAAATCGCTAAAGATTTGCTTCACCGTCTTAAGCGAAAATTTTAAGTCAGTTTGACCTAAAAGAGCCCAATTTGCACGCAAAAGTCAACGCAAAATTAGCATGCGGAGAACTTACAATTGATAATTAACATGTTTTTCATACCTGTCTGGCTAAAAACCTATTATCATTCCCCCAAAAATGCGCCTCCTCACGTCGACGCTCGTCCTCCTGGCCGCCGTCCAGGTTCAGGCTGCTGGGTGAGCCCTTTTTGAAACATTGAAATGCAAATTGAAGATTGAAAACTCGATTGAAATTGGAAACCTTTAATTTTTTTCAGTCTTGACCCGACGGGACTCTACGACTACGTGGGGCGTCATCTGCGCGAGGTGACGCGCGCGAGCACAGACAAATACATCTGCGACAGCCTGTTTCGATATGTACGGTGAACGAGTTTCTCTCTCTCTCTCTCTCCTCCCTCTCTCTCTCTCTCTCTCACTCTCTCTTCTCTCTTTCCCCGATTTTTTCTCTGTCTTTCTCTGCTTCTCTAGATCTCTCACCCGTTGTCTTGCTCTCGCGCTCGAGAGAGAGAGAGAGAGAGAGAGAGAGAGTGGTATTATCCGTTGAGATACTTCCCTTCCAGGTCTGTCCAACCGGTATCGACATGGCGACACACGGCATGGGCTCGGCGTTGTACTTCGACATGAGGAACCACCTCACCCAGTCCGACACTGCCGCCAATCCGCTCGAGACGAGCAGGCCGAACAAGCCGAGGGTACGGTAGATCAGCCACTTAGAAACAATTTGACATTCGCTGACAAATCCCAAAATCTGTTTTGAGAGCGACCTCACCTACTACGACAAGGAGACGCTCAGCCTGATTGCCCCCTTCTTCAGCATGTACCGCCCGTCGCTCGTTGGGGTCCTGGAGGTGGGACTGTTTTTAGCGCGAAGTCTAAGCTAAGCCTAAGCTAAGCCTATGCTAAGCCTAAGCCGAAACCGAGGCCTAAGTCTGCTCCAGGATGACGTGCCGTTCGGCGAGACCCTCCTCGCCGCCAGCTACCTGCAGGGCTGGCACGCCGACGACCCGGATCGCGTCATCAAGATGTACGACGAGATGACGCTCGAGTTCATCCGTGTCCTCGATGCGGTAATCCTTCTTGCACTCCTTTGTTCATATACTCTTTCTAGTACGACTACAAGCTGTTCGCGAACCGGGGCGGCCTGCAAAAATTGCGCGACGACATCCGCGAGCAGCTCAAGAAGAAGATGGCCATGGTGGGGTGGATTTCGTTAAGGAATACGGGAAATTTACAGATCCAAATGTACGCCGGGCCTGCGAACGCCAAACAAAGCCTTGCCTCCATGGTCAAGAAGTACAACGATATGCGCGACAAGCTGTACAGGTAGCTGACTGGTGCCTTGTTACTGTCACTATCCCTTTAAGGGGCAACACCACCGCAAAGAAACTCGCCGACGACGAGGCGAACCCCGGATCAGTAGCTCACCGCCTGCTCCACTTCCGGAAGGTGGTCGAATTTTCGCAAATTATAAAGTTTTTATTTTTTTTTTGAAACTTGGGATTTTATTAATTTTAATAGAAGAGCTTTTAATCCATTCCGACCTATAAATGCAATTTTTGGTCTAAAAATCCCAAACACTTACAATACCTATGGTACCCCTAATTATAGCTAGGCGCCGCCCGAGTGGCTGCCCGCATGGTTCGCCAGGATCTGAAGAGGGACTATGGCGAGGACGGCGACAAAATGATCAAGGGTAGCTGGGAAAACAGTTCCTTAGCAATATGCCAATTTGTGAGGCTTGACTCACGTGCTGCGCGACTCGCGCACCGGCGACCTGGCGTCCCGAGTTTTGCCTGCGCTGCTCAACGCCAACTCGCTGCTGCGCATCGCCGATCTGCAGTGGGAGCATGGCGGTCACGACAAGAGGGCCGCGTACCCGCCACTGATCTTTGTGGGTTTTTGAAGATACCTCTCTCTCTCTTCTCTCTCTCTTTCGCTCTCTATTTCTCTCTATCGTTCTCTCGCCATCACTCTCTCTCACTCTGTCTCTCTCACTCTCTCTCACTCACTCACTCTCTCACTCGCTCTCTCTTTCACTCTCTCACTCTCTCACTCGCTCTCTTTTGCTCTCTCACTCTCTCACTCGTTCTCTCGCTCTCTTTCGCTATCTCTCTCTCTCATGTCTATCTATCTCTCTCGCTCTATGTCTCTGCCGGTCTCTCTCCCTCACTCTTTCTCTCTTTCTCTCTTCCTCTCTCCCCCTCTCTCTCTATCGCTCTCTCTCGCTTTCTATCATTAGCCTAGCCGTTGTGGTCCGGTTGGCCCGACATCCCCAAGCAGTTCCACTTCTCGACTTCACCACAATTTTGTTTACAGTACTCCACCGTCGGCACCGAGATCGCGATCGAGTTCCTGAAGGCGTCCCGCGACAAGAATCACGTGCCCGAGTCCCGCAACTGCTCCTACGAGTACTTCAAGTCGTTCTGTCTGGCCGGCAACGACGTGAGCGAGTTTGGAGACCATTTTCCGGGGCTGCATTCTTAGCGGGGAGGGCGAATTTTTTCGCGGTAATTCCGTGGAGCCTTATGGCGTAACATTTGCCAATTCTATGACATTTTAGAGCGTTTTTGATGCGAAAAGCTCATCAAAAATTATAAAAATACTTCGAAAATTGTCAAAAATCGCAAATTTTTAAATTTTGCAGACTACTTTATTTAGATTTTAGAAAACTGAGCTCCCCCGCTAACAGCACAGAACCGCTTGTCATTTCTACTTCAAGGCATAATCTCCAAAATTTCAGAAGGGCTGCGAGAAGGCGCTCGAGCAAGTCGGCGTCGAGGAGGAGGAGATCATCTACGGCACGGCCATCCAGCTGTCATTCGAAGCGTGGCGCCGCAACCACCCTCTCCCTGCCTTCTACGGCGACAAACCCCTCGCCACCATCGTGTTCCGCGAGCTGACCATCGGCGACATGTTCTTCGCCGCGTGGGCCGTACAAAAGTGCGACTCGTACACGAGGACCTTGCCTAGGTATCGATCTAGCTGAAAGGATCTTTTTAAATTTCGATACTTGACTGTTAGCGGGGGGGGGCGGGTTGGAGGGTGACCTACATTTTTCCGGTACGACCCTATGGCGAAATATAAACCATTTTTAGCTCATCATTGCAATTTTTTAGATAGGAAAAATATATAAAAAATTTGGCACTGTGCTGTTAGCCGGGGGTGCCGCATAAGACTTCACCTATTTTGGTTAAAAAAACCCACAAGGTAGCCTTTTTCGACCAAAAACGGCCGCATTTCGACGAAAATCCCACCTAAAAAAATTTTCCTGTTTTTTTTATTAATTTTTGATTTTTCATTTCATTGCCTATGAAAATACGTTATTTCTTTTAGCAGGTTGGATAAAAAAAATTAGTTTCCCTTCTAATCCCCTGCCACCGAGTACCTAATTTTAAAAATCTAACTAATTTTTCAGCAAGGAATCGTGGGGCATGCGGACGTTGATCGACGCCGCGTCAGCCAATCACCCATATTGGATCGAACAGTGTGGTGAGCGGGATTATATGCAGAGGGTGGGTGGAGATTTTCAAGCGCTCTCCTCTCTCTCTCTCTCCATCTCTCTCCCTTACGCTCTCTCTCGCTCTCTCTCTTTCTCTTTCTCTCTCCCTCCCGAACATCTCGATCACGATTGCTTCCAGGTCGAGCGCTGCCCCTTGCTGCTACCCATGGAGTACCACGTGGACCTCTAGCTCTAGCTGCCCCACCTCATCTACTGGCAGCGCCCAAACTCGATGCCAGCCCTGCCACCACAACCACCTCCAAGATGTTCAGCCACAAAAAACACCCGTCGTTTATTTTTTGTTGCCCCTGCGTTGGGCGGTTGCTTTGGAATAAAGCTATTTCGATGGGAATTGAATGCGTGGCTGCAGGATTCGCAGCCAAGAAGCTACAAAAGCTACGTAAAGCTACAAACTACATGAAAATACGTCATGTTTTTCGTCGTCGTTTTCGCAATTTTTGCCTTGTCTTTTTGCTTTCCCTGTTTTCTTTTGGTATTCGTCATTTCGAAATCGTCAAGCTTTGGAATGTTTAACATATTCGTCAAACCCGTAAAAACTGTATTATCGTTCCATCATGCTCACCAGGTACACGCCATGCAATTCGCTTTCAGCAGGACCGTCGGCACTCGCCAGATTTGTTAAAAATCGGAAATATGGATTTTTTGCATTATCGGGGGGGGGGAAGGGGTGGTGTCATCAGTATCTGATTTTGCACATATAAATCGAAAAATTTTGTCTTGAAAATAATACAATAAAAATATTTACTATCATGGGACTAGGCGTTTCTGTACTTATTGCAGACGAAATTCGTTTCGTTGGGGTTTTGTGCAACTTTCTGATCCCCTAAAACCTCCTCCCCTCATCATCCACGAAATAGTAATTTCGGCCCACCCAGGCAGCCATCCCCCCTGACTCCCACGAATTCCTGGGTGGTCCCACCAGATGATGGCATTTGGAAAGTGATGGAAAAACCGGGCTCAAAGTGGTGTGCTTTTCGTGGTCATATGGCTGGCATTTTTGAGGGAATCTAATGAAGATCGGGTCCACGGAAAGGTCAAAATGGCGCTGCAAGTCTATGCTTGCTATTATAGCTCTGGGTCGAGGCGGTGAGGGTGGATGGCATTTGGCGCGTCGTGGAATCTTATTAAGCGGGGGTGAAAAATAGAATTACCGGCTCAAAATCCGGTACTTATACGTGAATAGGAAACTGTAGTTATGGTTGCGTCTGTGAGCATTTCAAAGCCTCGTTGCTCCCTCAAATACGACAAATTTTTGCGCTCTCTCTTGCTCTCTCACCTCACCCGCTCTCACTCGATTCTATCTTTTGCCTTACCGCGCTCTACTCCTGCCTCTCTCATGCTCCTTTTTCATATCTCTCTTTTGTGCTCCTTCTCCATCTCTCTCACTCGTGCTCCATCTCGTGCTCCTTTTCTCTTTCTCTTCCACTCTCTCACTGCTCTCCCGCCCGCTCTTGCTTTCCCTCGCACTCACTTTCTCGCCCTCATCCTCATAATCTCTATATCTCGCTCTCGAACATCATTCTCTATCTCCATCTCCTATAGGTCTTTCACTCTCTCGTGCGCTCTCTCTCGCTCCCTATCTCTCTCTCTCTCTCTCTCTCTCTCTCCCGTTCCCGCTCCCGCTCTCTCCATTGCGTTCTCTCTTTCCTCTTTCCTCAATCATTTCCGACCCCGGGATTACGGTAGCTCTCTTTCCCAATTGAAGACCACAAAAATAGAATCAACCTTCAAAAGTTCAGCATCATCCCGGGGTCCAGACGCCATTAACTCCGACGTCCCCTCCTCCTATATAGTTTTTGTGTGGGTGGCTGTCTCGAGCTCATCGTCGGGTCTCGGCCCGTAATTCCATTTTGGTCATTAGCTGTGTGCAACCGAACCTGACGAAGATGATAATCCTTGCTGTGTATTCCCTTCCGTTGGATCCGAGTTTTGACGCCTCTCAATAACTTTATAATTAATGTGGTATATCGGAGTTCCCTACTTGTTAGAATTTTTTCTTATCCTGGACTGGATTCTGTGGTTTCCGGACAAATAGACCCGTTTCCAATCTTATGCGAACTTTTATTCCTTGAGCAATCAACGGTTTTTGAAGCAATCGTACAACTCGAAAATTGCAGGTATATTCTGCACAGCGTTTTTCTGGCTCTTAACTTTTGTGAAGCCTTTACCGATTCCTAGATGGTTTTCTCTTTTTGAAAGAAACTTATCCAAAAATCTGAAAGCCCGCCGGAGTACCTCTGCCCTTTGAAAGCGGATCCTGAACTACCGCCATGTACGAATTTCGATTTTAAAACACCCTTTGAATTACCGTATTTTGGCGAGCTTCCGTTTTGTCGAAGATAGTCTTTGACGTAGTAGACAATAGCGAAATATTATTCCCAGGAGGTATTTGGAATCGCGTGTTTGGGGCTGTTCGAGGTGAAAGAGTATGGTTCGGTTTTACTAGACGTTCGAAGGTATGGTAGCGGAAATTGCGATTGTCGTTTTGGACAAGTTCTAGCAAATTATTCGCTTTTTTGTGTAGACTTCTGACACCGCGTTTCGAACCTTCCATCCCCTATTCCAAATTGAAACTAGCGTGTGCTTTGCTCCCTTGGCCAATTTTAGGTGCTTACTTTAAAACCAGGCCATCCCATCTCACTATCCTTTGACATTTCCCCCTTCACCAACTAATGCCATCACTCCACCAGGTCACGACTAATGACCATGCCCCGCTCACCAAAAAGTGGCTCAAAAAGTGTTGACCTCCTGAAAAGATAAAGTCCAAATTAAGAACTTTGGGAACTCTAAAAGTGCACAATTTTAAGGGGACTGGGAAGTGAGTTTGGAAACCATACTTTACTGCGGTCTGAAATTCTTCAAGAGTTTAGCTTTTCATGCTCTCTCTCCCTAACTCTCTCTTCCTCTCCCTCTCATCCTCTCCCTCTCCCCCGCTCTCTCCTCTGTCTGTCTCTCTCTCTTGTCTCTCTCTGTTTCTCTCTCTCTCTCTCTCTCTCTCTCTCTCTCTCTCGCTCTCCCTCTCTCCATCAAGCTCGCCCCGTACAACCTCTCACACTCTTTCTATCTCTCACACACTCTCACCATCACTCTTTCTCTATGTCAATGCATGCTAGCAGAAAACATTGCCCAGAAACATGGGTAAAAAGTTCAGAAAATCTCCGTCGAATTAGACTACAAGACCAATGTCGAAACTCGTTCCCAAAACTGACGACCATGTTTTTCAACCGCTTTTTGTAGCCGTTCCCCTCCAAATTCATCAAAATACTTTTAGCCGTGAGTTCTCAGGCGAAACGTGCGTGCCTTTGCCGGTTTTTCATTCGCCGTTGCTGACCACCACCGCCCCCACGCAATTTACAATCTCTGACCGAGGTTTTGGAGCCGAGAACGGCGCTGAAAAATATGGGGGACTGGCGCGGGGATTATGGTACAAATTTCAAGACAGGGAAGCTACGAGATTTGTCAAATTGTTCGCGGCTTTTCGTGGCGGCATAGGACCTGAGAAAGCCCAATTTTTGAACGTTGACTTTGATTGATGAACCCCTTTTAGTAGATTCGCCCTTTGATGAAGTAGGACATTGTGTTTTGGGGGGTAGTTCCCGGACCAACTAACAAGAAACCAATGCGGACTACGGTAGTCACACGGAAATAGCGTGGGAAGGTGTTGATTTGGATGGGAGAATGGGTGTAAAATGCACTCTTATGACCTCATACGTGCGTATAGAGGATCGAAAATTTGTGAGAGTAAGGAAATTAGCATAATTTTGATACTTTTTCTCTCACTCTCTTGTTCGCTCTCTCTCACCCATTCTCACTCTCTCATTCTCACTCTCTCACACTCTTTCTCGCTCATTCTCCTTCTCTCTATCTCCCTACCTCTCTATCTCTTTCGCTCTCTCCCCTCTCTCTCGCTCTCTCCCCTCTCTCTCGCTCTCTCCCCCTCCCTCTCTCGCTCCTCGTCCTCTCGTCTGTTTTGAATCCTTGACGATCCCCCGCAAGTCTCTTGCTCACTTTTTGGTCTTCCATCTCCTAAGTACACCTACGTCTTACCCAAAACCCCCAAAAATACCCCAAAGGAAGCCCCGTAGGCGTTCCCAAATTGGCCCCGGGCCAAGAATATTAATCTTGATTCCTTGACGAGACTAGATGATATCAATCTCCCAATGTAGGCCGTATTTTGGCCCGATGAGTACGTTTATTTACGTGGGTGCGTAGTGAAGAAGCCCTAGGGGAGTACCAGAGACCAAGCCGTGGAAAGCTCTGGAAGGCAAAAGCTGATGTACCGAGGCTTTTTTAGCTGTTGTTGATAGAAAACGCCGTGATGAAGCATAGGATGCAAGGAGTACTATTGCGTACTACGGAAGATGGGTTACCAAAATAAGGGAGCGGAAGATTCTGGAGAGCAGACAGAGAGAGAGAGAGAGAGAGAGAGAGAGAGAGAGAGAGAGAGAGAGAGAGAGAGAGAGGAGAGAGGACGGGTTGAGGCCGTAGATCATAAACCATAGGCCCATGGATGGGTATAAAAGTTAGTGGAGCAAGCCATACTGTTAGGAACTTTTTCATCATCCTCTATGATTCGCAACGCATTAGCTCCACCTATACAAAAACCCCCATTTCCAGCCTCGTGCTTCCATTTGCACTGTTTCTGAATGAGCACTTTCTAGCGGGGGTGTACCTTGAACCCCAGCAATTTGTTTCAATCCCTTTCCAAGGTGCGAATTTGCCTAACGATCCGCTAACACTTTTCCATGTTGTAGTCTAAAGTGCGCCCCTTGAGCCCAAAATTGGCGAGCGTCCAAAAACTTACGAAGCCTTTACTTTAGGTGAGCATTCTTAGAAAGTGTGTCTCATAAAATAGCTATTTTCAGGAGTATCGTGTATACAATCCTCGGAAAAGGCGCAATTCGGCGAAGAATGGAGATTTTGCACGCGGCATACAGTTGCCATGCACATGCCATTTTGCACTCATGCCAATGTGACTCAAGCTCAAAAAATACGCTTTATCGATAAAAGAGTAAATAAAATTATAAAAATGGATGTATGGAAAGCCAAAAAAAGCCAACCTCGTAATTTTAAATAATTGAGAAAAGAATAAACCTCTTAATATGGTTTCAAGGGACGGTGCCACCAAGGAAATGCCAAAATTGAGAGAAAATTGGCATCAAGTGT